GCCACTACATCCTTACACTTGACCAACTCCAACTCCCTACACACCTCAGCATTTTCCTCAACGCCAATATGAACAGCGCCTATTACCCAAGCAAAGCTCGGTACTTCCTCATCTTCACGACGGCCTACACCAAATGGCTCAAACTACAGGGGCTTCCACCATCCCTAGCTCAACACCTACAGCCTTTCCTTGAGCACCAATGGCGCCTTCACAACACACACCTCAAGCAGCAACCCCGTTTTACGGCCCGCCTGCTTCGTCAACTCCAAGAACATTTGGGAAAACACACATTACTCCACCATGCCGACCATGAGCTCCAACAACTCCGGCTGTTTTGCCCTCGACAATATTTCACTGGCGCCTTGAACACCTGGCAATCCCCCGAACTTTTCGAACCACTTCCCTACATCACTGCCGCCAATATCCACGATCACCTGGCCGCCACTGTCCCCCCCACTTTGCGCACTCGCTACAAGTGGGGCTTCCGAAAAGACTTCAACATTCCATACGGCGTTGTTCACCTCAAGGAGAAGAAGCACTGGCAAAAAGGCCGTACAATTATTTCATACTTCCAATCACTCAGTGGCAACTTGCTTCGCATCACCAGCCGTGCCCTTGACATCATCCTCCAACACCTCTACCCTCAACATCCCGGCCAAATGTCCATTCCCCAGCTTTGGCACCACTTTCACAGCTACCTTACCCAAACACCACCAGACATCTCACTACACGCCACCAACGATGACCTGGTCGGCTTCTTCAACTCAGTCCCACAGCACCGACTCATCGATGCAGTTCACTCCCTCGTCCACCACTGGCAACAACAGCAACCCACACACACCTTGACGGTGGATGTCCAGGCCACCGGCAATCCTTTCCACCACTCACACATTGGCAGACACCATCGGAAACACCCTACCCAACGCACCATCCAAACTTCCGACATTACCACCATCGTGGCTTTTGCCCTCAACACATGCATTTTCCGGGCTTGCAACAATACTTACAAACAAATCCGAGGGGCCGGGATTGGATCCCAGCTCTCTCCAGCCCTATGCAATGTTGCCATCACCCTCATCGAGCACTCCTGGCATCAGATCCACAACAACCTCCTTCAACACACAGACCTCCACTTTACTTACTATCGATATGTCGACAACCGCTTCATTGTCCACAACGAACATTTCCTTCAACGCCCGGCTATCCAAACCCTCATCCACCACAATTTCTTTGGCGACCCAGTTGAACTCGAACCGGTGGAGGATTTTCATCTCCTCGGTTTCAACATCGACCTCCCACAACGCACCATCACCTACATGCAACCTTCCCAACCCTGGAAAATCCGGGATTCCACAACCGCCGGGAGCCAGCGCTTGGCTCTATCAGGCCTCCAATCAAGACTCCACACCATTCGAAAATACACATTCCCACCCTCCAGCGCTGACGTTGCTGCGGCTGAACTCGTCAACCTATATGTCCAAAAGGGGCATAACTACCACGCCTGCCACCGGTTTTTGAAAAAAGCGCCGAATGCGGCGACCTGTGTGTGTCCCACCCTGGACAAAGGGTCTTACCCCACCACTTCCACACAGGCAGGGGGGCAGTGGACCACTATCACTCACTGCCCAACGAAGACAGTGATAGATCGGTCGTGAAGCAATGCGGGACGCCGCATTGTGTACCTGCTGAGTTTTTCCACAAGCTGTCACCCTACTTTTCCACGATTTGATTCATGGTGATTCCACATGATACTTTCCCCACAAACAGGTTTCCCACTGCACTGCAGCTGCTGACCGCCGTTTCCACTTGAGCGCTTTCGAAAACATTGTTCAACAATACTTTTTGGCTGACCCATGCACCTTTCCGTTCCATCGCTTTCCTTCCCATTGAGACAATTGCGTTAACTGAAAACCCAAGTTCGAAGTTCGAAGTGTGTCTAGTCCATTCAATTTCTTTTTGACTCAGCAGGATGGCTTAGTGATGAAACCACCCAATTATATAGCACCAGGGAAGCCACTCAAAGACCCCTGTCAGTTATCCACCAGCATTCTAGTCGTGATGCTAAGGACGCTATGAGCGCTATTAGGTGGAGGCCATCGCAAGTAGGTTGGCCATTGCTAGTTAAGTTTCTGTTACTAGTAGTAAGAATGCTCCTAGTAGCGATGCCAGGAGCCCCTAGTAGCATCCTTGCTTCTAGTAGTAAGGCCAGGAGCTCCTAGTAGCTTCTGTTACTAGTAGTGATGGCCTCCCAGGAGGACATTGAAGACCTGGCATTGGGCAGAAAGCGTCTCACAGAGCCGCAGGGAGCTGAATTCGCCTGACGGCCCGCAGGGCACAAGAAGGTTTGATTGAGGAGGCTGACTTCTTACTAGTAATGGCCTCCAACCATAGCGATGGCCTCCACCTAGTAGCGTCGTGGTTACTAGTAGTAAGGCCAGGAGCTACTGTCCAGAACACTTAGTTCACTTGTTCATCATTTCTGCCCAGCTGACTTCCTTTGGCAGAGTTTTCGACTTGCACGCTGACGAGGTCTGGTCGAGATGTGTACCGCCGACGATTTGATTTGTCATACTGGACCTTATGAGTTTAAACATGTTCTGGGTGTGGAAACGAGAGATGGTAACAAAGGGCATCGCTACTAGGAGCAAGGACGTTACTAGGGGCGCTCCTGGCCTTACTACTAGGAACAAGAAGCTGCTAGGAACAAAGGGGACCCAACAGGCTCCAACAGGCTCTTGAGACAGACTGGAATACATAGCGTTTGGAACAGTTTGCCCCACTAGTCACTATTGCATGGTAGTAACGTAGCAGACCATAACAGACCGCTGGTAGACTGCTTTCATTTGACGCCTATACCCATTGTCAAATGTGTTTTTGCCAAGTGCTGAGTGGATTGGATGAACATCACACTCGTGAGTGAAAGCCTGTGTTTAGCCAATTTTTCTGTGCCAGACTGCTTGCTATCCGTTGCTCAGCAGCACTATTCCTTTGCCTTCGTTTGTGTTGCTTCCATCTTTCAGAGTGATGTTTTCCGATCGACTGACGCCTTCTTTCTTGAAAGAGATTTTCTCTACCTGTTTCTACATTGGAATCACCAGTCACCAGATGGTACAGGCATTTTGGGCCTTGTTTGCGCAACGTTCAACTGTTTATTTAGCAATCGGCTCAGCTTGGACGATACCTGGAGGTTTTTTGATTCTCCAATTCCGTTTGAAGTGAAGCCACTGCTCAGGATACTTTGCTTGCACCTTTGGTGGTGCTGCCTTGGTCCTCATTTTTGTTCTCACGCGCTGGCGGGCAGCAGAGCCTCAGTTTGATTCAGGTTGACCACCTGTGACTCTAAAAAAAAACAACATGCATGCCTTTGCGTTGACCATTTTGAAGACCTTCACAAATCCGAACATAAATCCCAACATCCGCCCGGTTGTGGCTCTCCAAATGGAGATCACTCCACGCTGCACGTTTCCACTGCATCGGTGAGGAAGTGGTCTTTAGCATTGAGCGCCTCACCGAAGAGGTCTCGCCCATCCGCTGGAGCCGCTGGGCTCGTGGCCTCAGTGGTAGTGACCTGGTAGTGCCTCAGCGGTCGAGCGGAAGGGGTTTGTGGTGGAGTTTGAGATCAAGTTGTGTTGTAAGAGGTAGCCAAGTTCAAGACCAATGACCATACTGGTAGCATTTGGTAGCATAGGGGTTGCAACTTTATCTGCTGAGGGCCACCTGGAAAAATCATGCATGGTCTTTCTGCCCCGGTTCCAAGGGAACCCTTGCAAGACTAGTTATCCGACTATCCTTGCGGTACCTCAGGTCCTAGGTTTGTGGGACTTCCGCTTGAGGACCGACATGTTTTCGCTGTGCAGTGAAGCTATTTGATAGCTGCTCTCAGCTTGGCGCTTTGGTGGCTTGATTCCGGTGTTTCTGTCCCAGTCAGACGAAGGATTTGAGGCAACGGAGAGGAATGAAAACCAGGTTTACTAGTCAGATGCTTTCTACTGTTCCATTTATGTGTGTTTCAGATGGGATTTTGCTGCCAGGTTTCCGGGTGTCAATGATGTGCCCGTGTTCTGTGCTTTTTAAATTAGAAGTCAGCTGCTGGACCGGGTTGCTGGCCAGGACCGCAGATCAAAAAGAGCTTTGGGGGCAGTCTGCGACTCAGATCAACGACAGAAAGCTTCACGACGAATTCCTGCTTCTCTCCTGATGTATGGCCCACTGTATGGCTTACCACCTTACTCCCTTATAACTAGCACCTTAAAGCATCCTAGTTCGATTGAACTTTGCGCTAGGGGAGAACGATTGGAGAAATACCTTTTCTGCTGCTGGCTTTGCTCAAACCGATGTGATCCAGCCCCTCAAACCCAAACCAAAGCCAAGTCTGACCAGTCGAGCGGCAAAGAACATGCCACCATCACGTCCAAAAAATGGGATCCTCCAAAGAAGTGTAGATTCAGAGGATGGTGAAATATTCTAATGATTGATATGCGTGCAATTGCACTTGGCCATGAACCATGTCTAAGGGCATTGGCCAACTTGCTCCGAGCAGAGTATGAAGCAGAAACCTATGCACAACGAGCAGCCGGCATGGCTTTAGACCCACCGGGTTTGTGAGTTTGGAATTCCTGCATGTGCACATTCCCCAGAGGTTCTTCCTCTCAAAAAGTGGAGTCACATCACCCACTGTAGCTAAAAAGGTCCAAAGTAGGTGGTGCACAAGAATGTGTCAAACATGTACATGTGTAAGCAATGTTTCACTTTGCTTGCTTACATTGGATTCATATTCACGTTGGAGTCACCAATGTGTGCAGAATCCTTCAGAGAATCCTTCAGTTGGACTGATCCACCATTCCACCTTGCCAGTCCATCATTTGCAGCCCAGAGTATGGATCCAGAGAAGAATGACATGCCAACGATGCATTCTATCACGATGGGTGCATATCTATAACCGTCCAAGCTTCAGATTGAATAATTTGAATACATTTTACGGAGCTCCTGACAAGTCCGCCATGGCTGGCCATCGGCATGACGCCATGCAGACAAACCAGAACCTGGGGAACACCTTGGGCTCGCGCTCGGCGGTGAGACAGACCCATTTCTTTCGGAAGTATGAGAGTGGCAATACCATGAAGGCCTTGCTTGGCACACCTAATCTCTCCTGGGATGTGACAAGGAAGCTGGGTGTAATTTTGGCAATGCTTTTCCAGGCCGTCCTGAACAGAGCCAAAGAGATAGGTGGTATCTAAATGGAAAACACCTTTCTTTGACATGTGATCGACGATCGAGGAAGCAGGGTGCTTATGAGGGCCGCATTGAGGATCCATATGCAGCGTCACCTGTTCGTGAAGTCACAGGGGGTGTTGGAACCTCTCAGAAGGTAAATTCAAAAATCTTGGAGCACAAAGCGGCAGCCAAGGTTCAACATGAAGACTACCAGGACTGGCTCGAAGGTAAGTTTTTCGATATGTGTGAAGGTAAGCAATTCAATGTTCAACATAGCCTTACTGTTTGGTGGACCTTTGGGTTTTGCTACTGTACCAGATCTCAAGCGAGTGAAGGCAAACGATGGACATGATCGTGCCAAGAGATTCAGTCAGAAGGTCGCTCGTGGCAACAAGGCAGTGGAGAGCAGTTCCAGGTGGCAGACATCCTCAGCAGCTTATGGAAACTTCTGAATCGAGCAAAAAGAGCTGCGCCAAAGCTTGCCGATGCTTGTCAAGTGCTGCCATTATTGTTACAGCCGGTTCAAAATTGATTTTGTACATTTATGACTGACAACTGGACAGCTAGGTAGACATCCCTCATAGTGCATTTTTTCCCCAACAGTGTGGCTACACAGTACATAAGGGTCTTGATGCTGAGTGTAAAGGCCGTGTTCGATTGCGCGTTCGCATTTGGCCCTGGCCTCTTCGCGCGGGCAGCTTCTTGACAATTGTTCTTTCCAAGATGTCCTAAGTGCGTTTCAACTACGCAAGCGCCTTCAATTTTTTGGGTCATGGCTGGCGCTTGGGTTGAGGTGTGCTCTCGTTGTGGTGCGTGTGCATTTTTGGACTTGGTGTTCATGTCTCGTGGTACTGTGCGCAGGCAGAGCTTCAGAGCTTTGGTGAAGCTTTTTCAGATCTCTCTGTGGCATCGCTACTAGGAGCAAGAACGCTACTAGGGGCTCCTAGCATCGCTACTAGGAACAAGAGCGCTACTTGGTCGAAATATCACGACTGGGCTATGCATATGGCCATGGCCTTCATCGAAACTAGGATCCACAAGCGAACAGGCGACGACAAGTTGCTGTTCAATGTCCATCAATGTCCTGGGACTTCGATCACAGGAACTTGCCGAGCTCCATGGGCAAGGGGCACTCACAGGCCCGTCAGTCAGGCTGCGTTCAATGGCCACTGCGGTACCCAGTCCACTAGTGTTGGTTTCGTGATTCTCAGAACGACAAAAGGTCCCATGCTTCGCTCGCCAGCTTTTCCATTCCGAAGTCACCGGGTGGAACTGCTGGCATTTGCTTGACCTGCTACCAATTTACAGCCGCAGCTGCAGCAAGGTCTGGAGGCTTTGACCCACTTGGTGCAAGTGCGATGTTTGCCCCAACCGGTTTCCTATCGGATCCATCGGTGCACCGCTTCAGTTTAGCCATGAATGGTCCGCACAGGACGACCGAGCGCATTAATCGGCATAGCATTAAGGATCCGTTCACAGGACGTCGGATCTAGTAGCGTCCTTGCTCCTAGTAGCGATGCCCTTTGCTCCTGGTAGCGT